GCGTCACCACCAGTGAGTTGAGCATCTAGAGCAATCTCCCAAGCCTTGAGACGTGCAGCTTCTTGTTCCCGGGTGGTTCCGGTGAGGTATGCATAACCTTCCCAGCCAATGATTCTGCGCATGCTGAGCTTCAGCGTCTTCAAACCAAGTGCAGCGATTTCCAGAATAAAGTTGTGTTGTGGTACCCAGACTGTCTGGATAGCAGTGAGCCAGGCCTTTCGGCGTACCTCGACAGGCGAAGCGAGTGATGGTGCAGGCGACAAAAGAATGGATGGAGACTTCTTCTTGGGCTTCGACTTGAAGTCGAGCAGGGGAGCAACGAGGTAGAAGAAGGCACCGAATACCAAGAGAAGCTTGGCCAGAGGAATCTGGGCTGATGAAGCACCGAGCGAGACGCGAGGAGCGAGAATGCTGACCAGGTTGATAGGCAGGGCAAACAAGCCCCGGCCCTCTGGCTCTTCTTGTGACTGTTCGCGCTCGACGAGTCCTTCGAGTATCATCAAGCCGGCGAGAGACCCAACCATGAGCTTGCCCATCATAGCACTGCTGCGTCGTCCGTTGACCATGGGTGGACCGACGGCTGGACGGCCGCCGTATCCCGTAGGGTAGGCGTGTGCGTAGTGTTGCTGTGGTGGCAATCCGCGTTGAAGAGCGGCAATGTTGTCGGGGACAGGAATCATGCCTTGGGGTGGGCCAGACATGGATAGACCATGTGTAGGCGTGAAGGGGTCATCGTGATACCTGTCAGATGCGCCACCTGGACCGTGTAGTGTTATGGGGCCGGATATGGCCATCTTCTCGTAGCTCTCTACCCGGCCTTTCATGGTATTCAGCTCATCCTGTAGACGCTTGTTGCGCTTCTCCAGGTGGCGAATATACTCAGTCGCTTTTGACAGGACAGTGGCCTTGTTGAGTTTGTGTGCAGGAGTGAGTCCTTCGAGATCCTCGGGGTCATCGTCTTCCTCGGTGCCATTTGGTCGTGACATGACACGCAGACTCGGGACACCTGAAGGAGAAGTTAGCAAAGTGTTTGGCAGGACGCGCTGGATGATGACCTACTATCGCGGAGCGCAGCAATCTTGTCGTTGAGGTTTGTCCGATATCGCTTCTCAATCATGTTGTGCGCAGTCTTCTTGGGCGGCGCGCCGCCCTTTTTGCTCGATGGCGCATCGTCGTCCGGCTCTTCGGAATCGGCCGATGACTTGCGCTTTCTCGAGTTTGATGGGGCGGGTTCTGGTGATGAATGCGATGATGTTGAGCTTGACCGGCCATTGTTCAGCGAGTTGGGACTGTGGTGCAGACTCGGCGTGGAGTCAGGAGGCGGTGGTGCAGCATAGTTGGATTGTTGGTATTGCGAAGGCGAGAAGAGGTTGTTGTCTGATAATTGTTGCTGTTGCTGCTGTTGTTGTGATTGTTGTTGTTGTTGTTGCTGCTGCTGCTGTTGTTGTTGCCATTGCTGGGCCGTGTAGTATGCGTTTTGTTGTTGCATGTCGCCTGTTAGCGGCGAGCTGAGGTCAGAGCCATTAAAGTCAAACGATAGCGGCACGTCAGCGCTCTGGCCAAAGGTAAAAGGAACGGCGTGGGATTGGGCAAACATGGGAGCGGTGGTGGGAGTGAGGGTGGATGGTAGTGGTAGCGGCTGTGACTGAGGAAGGTGGGTGATATGGGGTGATGTTTGCTGGCGGGTCCTAGGGTATGCGGCGGGCCCCTGTGGGTTGACGGGCTTGGTGTCCACGTTCTGGGAGTCCTGAGACGGCTGGGCGGGGTTGTAGTGCATCCACTCGTTCCAGTCGGTTGTGTCGTCGGCAGAAGCAGTGAGCGTCATGTCGTCGGCGGCAGTGGTGAGCCACGGGCCGCGCATGGTGCCAAAGGGAAAGTCAGTAGAGAGCATGGGATCCTCCATGGTGGTGGTGGTGGTGGTGGTGGCCGCCGACGTCGTCGTCGTGGGCGGGCTTGGGTCCTGGGTGGTTGGGGCAGAGGCAGCCGGCTCGGGCTTCGGGAGCAGTCTGAAGTTGTCAAAGACGCAGTAAGGACCGACCTGGCAGCGCAGCGCATGTTAGCACAATGGTTAGAAGTGGCTGCGCCCACGGCGTCACGCACGGCGATTCGCTCCAGCTCCAGCCCGTCATCGGGGCTGCCATAGGGGTCAGAAGCCATTGGGGGGAGACTAAGGACCGTCTGCTGCGAAACTAAGGGACCGCAGGCGAGGACGACAGCAGGATACGAAAAGAGCAAAAAAGCGATGGAGATAATACACGACGGCGTGTGCAACACAGCGGGTAGGAAGGAGCTCGGTCTTACCAGCAGCTACTTTGGACGATCTCAAATCATGCCACTCTCTCTCTCTACTCTCTCCCAGATGATGCACAAGGCGAATGCGGGCGGCGGCGGCAGATCCGGCAGAGTGCGCTCGCTCTGCGACAGGTAAGGCAGGCTACGCACAAGCTGCACTCAGCTGCAGCGACTATGGGCTCCTGGGCGAATGGCGAATGGCACTCTTGCGTCGAAATGGCATGCAGCAATCGTGCTACGGCTCCGGGAGGGTCCAGATGGCTTTCGCGTAAGGGAGGATGTTGGAGTGGTTCGACAAGTCGTACGATGATGGACAGGCGACTAGGGGGGGAACGCCCCACGGCAATCGGCAATGCAGTACGTACCAATACCTCACCACCACCACCAAAGAGCTAAGCTGCCGTTCAATATCGTCCGCTCCGGCGAGTGCGCATGTATACACAGTGGGGATGCGCGAGTGAGGGCGAGCGTGTGGGTGTATGTATCATCGACGGGCAGGGCAATGGCAACGACAAGACAAGGGCGGCATCTATTTCTCAGGCCGGATCAGGGGAACTGGTCCTTAAGTTTGTCGCTGGCTGTCTGTGGTCGGCGTGGTCAGAGTTGAGGCTGGCGCTGTAAGAGCAAATCCCTGTCCTCGGCCGCACTGCTCTCATCTAACCGGACACGACCGCCACTGAGATGAGGCATCATGCTTGTCACGTCCATCTCGATAACCGAGTCCTCGACTGCTATGCTATGCCATGTGCATGCCCACCCACGGACTCGCCGCTGTCAACACCTATCCATATCCACAAATCCACACAAGTCCACCGTCATGGCCACGCAAATGGGCTGTGGTGACGTGTGGCGGATCCAGCCCGGTCGATGCTTCAGCCATGGTTCGCCTCAATGCGCTTTCTCCGCCCCGGCCCAGACTACAACCACGCGCCTGCTCCATCGCTCGCCTCCTATAAGCCCAGCACTCACTTGTACCCCTAATCACTCGACTGCTTTTTCGCGTTTCACCATCGACACCATGGCCCTCTTGCTAACTCTCCCGCCTACCAAACACGCCTGTGCAGCGTAGAATACGACACTCGAACCCTGCGTTTGCTGACATGTCAACTCTACCTTCGTCACCACCCACCATCCCCGCGCACTACAACATGCCGGTCCTATCTCCAACCCGCTTTTGCTAGGAACATACCTCTTCGCAACCCTCCGGCGCAACCATAATCTGGCTTTCCATCAATCACACGTCAAAATCTCGCGTCATCCCGTCTGCGCACCCACCCGTTCTCGCCGCAGTGAGACCACGAACTGGTCTTTTTTTAGCCTCCCACACGAACCACCGCCTATCATATATGATTCTCTCAAGTAACATTCTGGGCGAAAAAATTTCCGCATCAACGACACAGGCTTGGCATCGAGGCCAGGCCGTCAAGGACACAACCAAGCGGCCAAATGACATGCCAAATTACAAAGCAAACCTACATGAAACCACGACACAAACACCAAACCCGCCAGGTCTGCACCCTGTACTCAGCACAAAGCATTATGCTTCATTTCGCCTCCTTGCTGTCTGCTCGACCCTCGTGCTCCCTAATGCTTCAACGCTAGCACGGTGCTGAACTGCGAACAAGGAAAATATTTGGCTCTCGTAACAAGAGATGAGTGAACTAGGGACAGCACGGCAAATCCACATAGCCTCTGTTGGAGAGACAGCAGGCTTGTCCACTGCCCAGGCAGCAAGCACATCCTGTCACTGCAACCCATTTTCCTGTCGTGGTAACAGTGCATCTGTCACTGTTGTGTCTTGGCGCAAATCTCGTGCAACATGCTCTAGTCTCTTGTGTGACCACGACCTTCCCTGTTTCCTCAAGGGAATGAGAAAGCTAAGGGAGAAGAATGATGTAGACTGCATCTGAATTGTGCCCGCGGAGAAAAATCGTCACGACTACTTTTCTTTTGCAGAAAAATCACGTATGCTCCTTATCCAAACAGTAATCACTCCATTCACAGAAACATAGAGAACACCCACACGTCATTTGAGAGTGCAGTGGCGGCGATGCTCTGAGCAAATGTCAAAGGATAGTGTTGCTAGTCTTGGTGATGCCTTTTTCTTGCTGTTGCTGCTGTAACAACTCACCTGCTGGATGAACCAACCCTGAAAGTACTGTTTCCTGTGGCAGTAGCTCCGCTAGTTGAAGGCCATCACAATTTCTGCATGCTGAGCGAAAGCCCTGATCAAACACATCGTGTCCTGTGCCAGTCTTGAATTCATACAGTTGCACGTCCTGCATCTGGACTGAGACTCCACCACTGCTCCTCGTAAACTTCTCTCAGCTCAAGAAACATCAGAAACTGAGGTCATACTACCGCCGCTCTCTCTTCCTCACCCCTTTCCCCCCCTCTCTCAGCTCAGAAAAGAGACACGAAAGACTCCATGCTATAGTAGTACCTAAACTGTGAAACTGTGAACTCGTGAAACCCCAGGACCCTGAGAACCCCTAAAAAAAGCAACCACGAGAAAATGTTCCTCCCCTGAATCGACTGTTTATCCATCCACCGCACCTTCTGTCATCAAGACAAACGATTCGTCCCCCAGACTTAACACACACAAAATCAGGGGAATCCTTATTCAAACCACGCCCCCCAAAGTTGCACTGCATACGTAAGAGAAGGACTCCCACCTGTCAGCCGCGCAGCATTCCACAAAAAACACAATGTTATCACTCTTCACACCCTGTATGCCACGTACCCTCTCTCCCAATGTGAAAAGTTTACGAGTCCCCTTGACAGCGGTATTTTCTCTCCCTTGCTCACTCGCCCCAGAAGGGCTCACTGGAGAGAGAAGGGGTGTGCAATTCATGACAGCACAACACGAAGCAACCTAGTTTCTGTCCTCGTGTCCCTGCCACGCCTGTCTCCCTCCCTGCCATCCCTCGTTACCTCGCCCCGCCCTTCCCTCGCCGTCGTTCCTGCCTCCCCATCGCCTCCGCTCGCTTCCTCGCCCACCCTCGCTTCGTCGCTCTCCGGCCACGGCCGCCACATCCGGATGCCCAAAGTAGGTGGAGCCCAAAAGGAAACGAGTGACATTCCTGGCCAAGCCCTGGTATCCACACACACACACACTGCCGCACAACACGTGGTTTCGACAGCCCTCCGGTCCCAGGCTAAATTGGCTGGAAAATCAGAGATACGAACGCCCAGCAGGCACCGGTCTTTTGCTAGTCCACGATAAGGGAAACGAAAGAACGCACGGGGAGAACGAGGCGATGTAACTACATGTACGTAGATGGGGTCATCTGCACACTGACACACATAGTAGATACAGCCCGTCTATTCAATAGTCCAAGCAGCAACAAGGTACTTAGGTAAACTAACTTGTTCTCACCGACTAAAAAGAATTAAAGTGAGGCTTACCCTCATCCATCCCAACAAAGCAAACAAGTAGGCCAAAAAAACGGCCCTACTATGTGCTTACAAGCGTCAACCCGACAGACGCACACCTTACCCTGCGTCTTGCTCGTACGTTAATCTCACCTCTACCTAGTAGCTTGCCCTTGCAGTTTGAGCCCTTACAAACCTTTTACCCTGGAGCGCGAAAATTTGCTTCTTCACAAAAACGCCCAGACGGGATAATTTCAACCCTCCCAAGGTTGCCGAAACCCAAGATTGCCGAACATGGAAGCCAAAAGCACACTGGCACACCGACACACCGACATACAGAATGAGAATGGATTGCGACCGGGGAACGGGGAGCGGACGGTAAAAACGCTTGGATCACACCCTTACTTTCGCACAAAAAACCAAAAAGAAAGGAAAAACCGAAGCCCATTGGAGGCTGGGTCTGTGATCTCTTGCTCAAATCAAATCAAATCTTGTCCTTGAAAAATTCCACATCGGGCGTAGCACGTACACACTAACCCGCCCAGATAGACACGCATAGAGAAGGTGGGGGGACAGTAAAGCACGATTTCCGTCCTCAAACTTTCCTTAGCTCAGATCGAGCGAACCAGAACTTACCCTCGATTAACCTTTTTCTTTCTTTTCTTTTTTTGTTTTCGGGTTTCCGAGTTTTTTTTCGCAGACCAAACAGACATGTCAGAACATAAGAAAGTTGTTTTGTGCGCCACATGTACACGCTTTCTTAGCGTAGCGTAGAAACACTTAAACTCTTTCGGTGACCCACGTTTTAGTTCATATAAAAAAAGGCTCTAGGTTATCATAGGTTAGACGCAAAACAAAAACAAATAAATAAACGACGGAGATGCGCGGCTTCGCGGAAGAGCGCCATGCCCTTTTTTTTCCTTAGTAGATACACTTCGCGACAGCCAAAACTTAACTTGCTCAATCTGTATACGAGATTCTCCCTAAGCCCGTTTCCAGATTTAAGTTTGAACCCGTCCGTATTTTGCTTTTTTTCGCTTTTTTTTTTCGTGCCCTTCTTTTGCCCTTCTGGCGCGAGCACAAGAAGGCATAGCGCCTCAGGTACCAACGATAATACCAAACAGGGGATGCAATGCGAAACCAAAAAACTAAATAAATCCACCAAACACTACTTTCTGTATATTGACCTTAAAAAAAACCCCCCATATCGTACTTTTGCTTTTTTGGTCATTCTGGGTTTTTTCTTGGCTAACCCACATTGCCGCCCGCGTGGAGTCTACTCGCTGATCACTGATCTTCAAAGAAAGATCTACCCTATTTTCTTTGCGGCGAAAAGAGGCTTCACCCGTCTAGAACTACCCCTCCCCATTCGTCGTCCCTTCGTGCTCATCCCCTCCCCTTCCAAGAAGGGCCTAGGTCTTGTTTGTTTGCAAGATGCAGGTGAGCAAAGCGAGCTTAAAGCTTGCTGTTCTGGCGGGGGGTTTTCCCTTACCGTTTTAAGCGTGGGATGGAAAGAGAAACCTACTCGTGCAGAAAACGGAGAAGGGGTGGGTTGCTTTTTTTTTCCCTTGGGGGGAGAGAGGGTCTATAGAGGAGAGATAAAATTCGTGTGGGCAGTTGAGGGTACGTAGTTTGAAAGGGGGAAAGGGTGACGAACAAGGGTGATGTGTAGGTATTGTGTGGAACGCCGACTCCTCCTCCTCTCGTTGTGCCAATCCCATGAATTCTCTCATTTGAGTGAGGAAAGAAGTGGACGAGAGATACAGATCGACTCGTCTCCACCTCACCCATCATACTCCCACGCGTATGCATATGCATCTGCATCTACGATGCGTTTCCCCGAAATACCAAAGTATGGTAGCTCAGAAAAGTTAATCACGATTCACACCTCACCCTGTGGGTCATAACCACTCATTCTACACCTACATGCTTTCGCTGGCAAGCAAGGGACCGAACCAGGTCCCCCCCTTCCCTTCATGCTCTTACTACTGCAGGGCAAATCTAAATGGTCCTGATAACCCTAATACTACCTAACCCTGATGGATCTTTCCGGGATCTCGTACGACGTGGCGTTCTCGAACCAGCTTCGATAGGCGATTAAAACAGAAAGAAAAAAGCAAAACATGTCTACAAGACAGAAAAGAGGGCACATACCGGGTGACCAACAAAAGTTCTAGCTTAGGGGCGGGGGCACACGGGCCAGGGTGCTTCAGAAAAGACTGGGATATAAGGAGTTTGGTAAGTCGCAACTTACGAGGTCATGGGGGGTACGACTATGTGTGAGTGTGTGTGAATGCCTAGTAATGCCGTTGGTTTGATGAGGATAAGTAGTCATTGAACCACTTGTGGAAAGACCCGAAGGGCAATTGATGCCGAGGGTAAGATCGGGCTATGGGTGTTTTGCGTCTGTTCATTCTCTCGGCACAAAGAGCCGACCAATCGGCGAGCGGCACGGGGTCGGCCTTGCCGCTTTAACACGGCACGGCCGCCGGTCGATTTGACAAAGAAGCGTTCAAGCGCCAGAACCAGCCACATGGTACCTAGCGTGACCCGTGTTGAGAATCAATTGATGACGAGTATGGTGGGGGGGGTTTGTCTCGTGATGAGCCAGCAAAAAAGGGACAATTGTTCATTACCAGCACCTGTGTACGCAATGTACATCTTGTCTGCATCCGACTTGCATACCATGAGATCTTGATGGGCACCGCCCTGTGTCGAGATTTTGCCGCGTTGCGAATGGGCTGACCCATGGGATTTTGGTCTAGAGGGGGGCGAAATCCGGTGTGGGGTAAGCTCCGCCGTCAACCGAGGCGGGACGATCCAGAAAACTGCATGTCAGCCTTGACTTCGAGAAAACAAGCGAAGAAAAGAAGCAAAGAAGAAGGCCAGAAAAAAAATTACACCGCACGCATGCAAGCACTGTGACCAAACGCCCGCGGGCGGAGAATTGAAACGCAACGAAAATCCCTCGGCGGTGATCGTTGCAAGCATAACTACTAGGTTTTTGCTTCGACGCCTGTGCCTGGACATGGAAATAATGCTCGTGCATAACTCGCGTTTGATGTTGGGAGAGAAGATCAGTGGCGTTATGGATCTCCAAAGGCTCGAGTGTTTGCAATTACAGTTGCACCGCCACGGCCTCTCTGTTAATGCGTTTCACTTGTCAGATCCTGTTGCTAGCCCGTAGATCTACCCTCAAGACAAATCTCACGATAGCCGGTACACTAGAGTTACGCTGCGTTGACTAGCAGCGCATGGCCCTCTGATCCATGTATGCGCTCCCTTGTATTGTCGCAGGTAGACAGCTTGTAAGCATCCTGTAATTCTTCTGAGTAATCTGCCCTGCAAATTTTCACTGCTTTTTTTCTTTCACATGTGTGTAATCAAGCAGAGATACTCTTGCGTTGCTTTCACATATGCATGTGTTATGCCAATAAAGGAACGCGGCACAGTCGTCGACGAGGGCCACCTGGTGAGGCCATGTAGCTGTTTTGTTCACCCAGGCGACTGTCTACGGATGTGCACGACTGCAGTAGACCATAAAGTACTTGTCGCGATGACATACCATGCTCCAGGGGCAATTGCGCTATTTGTTTTGAAGTAGAGATTCCAACAAAGGCCACCGCACAAGTCTGTTTCCTCCGCCTTTGCATAACGTAAAATGCAGTCAGATTTCATGCCGTGGAGCGAGTGCAGCACGGGAGCTGCTGCACGACGACCAAAAAGGGTGTCAGGACTGCCCCATATTTTGCCATAGGCGACTCCGGTCCTGGCACGTCGTCCCCCAGCACGACCGGAACGCGTGTGCCGATGACAGTCAGGTAAGTAGGGTCCTCCCGAAACGGACGACCCTAAAGATTCCTTCGGACATGCAGACAGCGATAAGCCGGTCATTTCTGCGACGACCCATGTTTCCCTCGCCCAAGAAAGGCCACTGTATTTATTTTGATCAACAGACTGCGACTGCATGTCGCCAGAAGGAGTCGTAGGGAAAAATGGCGAATTCCACAGTGGAGCCTGTTAGGGCGCTGTCCAACGTTGCTTTTTGTCCTGCCGCGCTGTGCCACGCGAAAATCGTCACGATGCAAGCTCACGGCGCCTCCACGAAGCTGAGTGCGGGTGAGACGATCGTAAACCAATTTGAGTAAACGGCCGAGGAGGATCATCAAGCAGGCCCAAAATGGACAGGCGGATATTCTCGAAACACAACTCGCAGAAGGGCAAGGGGTGCACCGAGAGTCGTACGATACAATATCTTTATTGCATCCATGTCGCTTAAGCAAGAAACCGAATCGGGAGCAATGCATTAAACCATTTTGGGGATGCCGCCCACTAAAACTGGGTATCAGATACGTGTGAGATGAAAAGGGTGTGACCAGCGTTAGATCGAGATCGCCGCCAAGCGAGCAAAGTTACTGAAGATCCTGAGTCAGATTGAGAAACTATTACCGGGGTCTTCTTAACATCATATTCCTGTGTGCTGACAGGGCTCATCTGTCAACTAGCATCGAGTTTGCTCGGCTGTGACAGGTTCTCGGCATATATGCTTTTGGTAGGGATTCGCCTCATCTGGCGGCACACGTGAAGCATGCATGGACCTCGCAACTCATTGTCAATAGGGTTTAAGGACCCCTTGCGGCGGGTCGACAATGACCCTTTTGGTCAGCTACATGATGCCTGGATGGTGGCAAGATGCACATTTGGATTTTCTGCCCGAAAAACGATGCGAGTTGGAAGGGACACGTTTACAGCTGCCGGAACAGTGGCCGACGAGCGGTGTCGTAAAAAGTCAGCAAACATGGAGCCCAACCTGTCAAAGACGGTGACGCGGAGGAGGTAAGGCACCGGTAAATTTGCATCTAGTTTCCTCATGCTGCCAATCTCGTCCGAGGACGGGTTGCAATTGCCTTCCAGTGTCGTGTATGCACGTCGTTAGCACCATCGTGATTGCGACGAGATCCGTATTCTTGGTCTTGGTTGAGCTGAAAAGTTAGCATAATTTTCTGGCGCATCACCTCATTCACATGAAGCCAGCGAGCCGGATTCCACGCCAGTATCGATGCACGCAAGGTATGCCCGGACTAGACAAGTCGACTCAGAGAATTAGCAGATCAGGTCATGGGCTGTGCTTTTCGATGCACCTGATTGGGGGTGTTGATGTGCGTGCGCGACAGGCCAATAGTTGAAGGCAGGTTTGTCCGAGGCACTCCTGCAGGGCGAGCAAGATCTTGTCGACTTGTGCAATGACAAACGCGGGTTATTTGAGTGTTTTGCGAGTCTCATAGATATGCGTTTCGAAACGCTTTGATTCCCGCCATGACCGGCATTGAATGACAGCGGTCAAACGCTTGCGCATAAATGGGTTTGACATAATGCAATACCTAGTCCGGGAGGCGTTTGTCAAGCGGCCAGTTGGTACAAAAAAAAGTACCGACACGACAACGAATCGGTCAGGTAAATCGGGTTGCGCAGTGCCGAATGCAAAGAAGCAGCACTATTTAGCCACAGGGACCAGGGACGGGCATGTGTCCACAACTCCATATGTCCACACACATAAGTATGTGAGATATATATGTACTTATTACATATGTCGCCTGAGAGACATGGTTGGTAATACACAATGGCGTAAGTGGGTATTCTGCGCCGGTTCGACGTTGCAAGCCACCGACGGGTGCACGATGAAGCTTGTCGGGGGGTGCACCACGGCACGGGCAATTGCGGAGCAGGTAATTGTCATGACCAAGAGCACTGTTTGATAAGTGGAAGTAGCAGGATAGCAGAGTTGTGAGACACGTGTGACGGGCGTTGCACTGGAATATTTCGGCACCCTGGTCATTGTCCAAGGCAAAGGGGGGGTGCGGGGCGGGATGATGGCACCGAGCGATATGTCTCCTCGGCCTGCGGTGATGGCTGTCAGCGCATGTGAGGCAGCTGGCGAGGTGGTTGGCTCGACTGACTCTGCCGCGGAGAGCTGGTGTGACGGCGATTGGGCGTATGCGGGCATTATCGTCAGCGCGCAGACAGGGCTCAGCGCTCGAGTAAGTGTAGCATGTATACATACAGACTATAAAGATAGAACATGCAAGGCAGGCCAGAGGCAGAGAGAGTCGAGAGGGTGGTGAAGGCAGATCGGTCGTGGTTCCGCTAATGCAGCTAAATCGCAACGGAGACTTGTGGGTAGCGTGGTGTGGATGTCTGGGTCGGGTGCCGTTTTGCCTCACGGGCGTGCTACTGTAGGGCACGAGGGAGCGCACAGGCAGCAGCACGGGCCACTGTGCTATGGCAGATGCAAGTCGAGCCGGGATGGCGTGGTGCGACCAGCCCAGCGATTTTGCAGACACGTGCAGACGTCAACGGGCAAGTGCTTTAGTGCATGGTGGATCCATGGTTCGGAACGAGACCAGGGAGGCGTGCTGCGTAGGTGCACTGAGAGAGGCGTTAGCGACGACTGACGTAGCGGCACAGGCCAGAGGTATCACCAGGCCCGACAAAGTGGCCTCATTGTGTACGGGCAAGTGTAAGAGCCATCGAGTAGCAGGTGCCCTGTGCGCCGTAGCGATAATGCGGACGATAATGCAATAGCAGCGAGCGGCATTGGGTGTTGCGTACAGGCGGCTCTTGAGTCAAAGTTTCTTGCATCCGGGCCGATGAGATCTCGAGGCAAGACGATGGTTCGTCGGCACGCGCTGCCTCGTCTGTCACGGCGATGCATGATGGCCGCCGCCCCGCTGCACTAATCGCGTTGCCACCGATTCAGATGCGTTGTGTGGGCATCACCCCTGGGCTGATTGGAGATTCCCGAGCGATGGCCATGGACGGCGGCGATTGCTGATTTGCGTGCCTGGGGGGTAGTGTACATATCGAGGTACATGAGTGCTGTGTGTAGTGTATATATGGCGATGGGCTGACGACAAGGACGACGAGGACCCGGGATGCTGCCCTGACGGTGCATGGTGGACAGCAGGCTGGAAGAAGAAGAAAACAAAAAGACCAGCAGAGCAGCAGACCAAACCCACCCGGCAGGCCCGGCACAGCGGCCATGTACACATACAGGCGCGGGCTGCTGTGCGAGGCGTTCGGCGGCGTGGCGCGCACTCTTTTTTGTGGGTATGGAGTGGTGAGAGGATATGAGTAGTCGAGTGTGTGTGGCTGTCACTGTCTGCTGTCGCAGCCAAGGCGTAGCGAGGGGCATCAGCGGCATGAGTAGCACCAGTGCGAAGGCCGGCTGCATCTCGATTGCATGACTGCATGCCACGGCGATAATTTGGCCCGTGGCCGCGGGGGCGTCCATTCGCGCGGATGCTGGTCGCGATGCTGGTCCCTGGTCACAACGGCTGCGGATCGAGCAGAAGCAAGTCGAGGGTGTGGAAGGCGAGGGGGGGCCTGTGGCGCTGATCGATGCACCCACAGCCCACGCTCCGTGTCCGCCCGGCCGGCTGCTGCTTTTACACTAAGCACTCGACAGCGCAGTGTAGTGGTAGTGGTAGGGGGGTTCAGCAGATTCCATGCGGACAAGCGTGGCCAGGATAGCCCATTGCTCGCCGATGATTTGGGAGCGTGCTCAGGTGCGGTGCTGGGGCGCTGGGGCGCTGGGGCGCTGGGGTGCCGTCCTCAGTGTTGCAGCTTGAACACCCACCCATCGCCTTCTCCACCCGCATCCTTGCCGTGGCAAACAGACGTGCCGTAACCCTTCCATCCCTGCCTGCTCACTGCTCACTGCACTCTCGCGTCACGTCCTAGACGACTCGCTGCCGCCGCGCTTCATCTCCGATCGTATCTGCTTTAGCCCGCTGCACCTGGTCTTAGTTCTTGTTTCCGCTCACCCCATGCCTGTGCCTGCAACCATCGACAGGACGCGGCATTGCGACCAGTAGCTCACTGTGAGATCACGGCTTGGCCATCTGCTCCGCTCCAAACCCCATGCCACACTTGCCCACCTCTCCCACACATCATCCACCTCCGCCGCCAGAAGCACAGCATCCAGAAGGTCCCTGACGCCGCCCTGCCAACTGTGCTGCCACTCGCCTCGACTCGCCCCATCCACTCCACCTACGTCAGCCACGTCGCTGACACTATCGCCTGCACCTGCACTCTTGACTCTGCCTTTCCTCTCGCTAACAACGCTCCTTGCCCGTGACAAAAAGGTGCCCACCTTCCAAACCGTGTGCGGTTGAGTGGAAAAAACAAAAGACGGCAAAAGAGAAAAACCGTCACAACAAGCAAAAGTTTGCCCCAGCATCAGTCATTGGAGAGAGACAGAGAGAAAAAGAGAGAGAGAAAAGTGGTCAACGTAAAGAGCGTGGTAATCGCACAGAAAAAAAGACCGTCGTCGACGATTCCGCCAGTAGTACCGTGTGGTTTGCTTGGCTGTGCTTGTCGAGCAAGGAACGACTCCAGGTTCTGGCGCCTCCCAATCTTGTGCAGCAAGGCACATGAACGCCGCCGGCCTGCCATTCCCCACCATCACTCCTTTGCAACATCCATCTGTCGCATCTCCAAACTAAACCTTGCCACCACCCACGGAAGGTGCCGCTCATGATGGAAACCTTAGACGCTGGCAGCAGACAAGCGTACGTCATCGTCGTCCCCCTGGCCTTGCTATACATGTGCTAACTACAGACTGCAGTGTCGGCCTCCCTTCAATCAACCACATGGATGCCGAGAGAGTCAAGCGCGAGGAGGCCGAGTACCAGAGAAAACACTCGGCCCCAGCCATGCCCAGCCCGCTGCACCCTTACACTGGGCCATCGCATGCACACAGCAATCCCCAGTCCTCCATCCCCAGCGCAGTGCCTGGCTCGCTCGGAGGCTTGCTGTCTCCTCCCGAATCACGCAGGATGTCTGGCGACGACAAGGACTCACAGCGAGCGCCCGCTCGCCAGTCCTTGCCATCCATCCACGAAGCCCTGGGATCGGAGCAGCCGCTCTCATATCCAGCTACAGTGCCACCACCCTCCTCGATAACATCAGCTCCCCAACATTACCATTCATCCTCTGCAGCTCCTTCACCGGCCGAGCAACGTCCACGAAACTACCCACCAGATCTCCAGCACCCCAGCCAAGGGCCACCTAGCTCTCTGTCCCACCCAAGGAGTCCATACATTGCCTCCTCAGCGTCACAAACAGGTCCTCCGCCACCAGCCCCAGCTCCAACAGACTCCCTTCCTCGCCCACCCTTCTCGGATCCAAGGCCGCCATATCCAACCCCTCAACACAATCCGAAGCTCCCTTCGCTTCATCCTCTCAAGACCGCGCCTGCTTCGCCTCCAAGCGCCCCACATCCCAGCATCCCTTATTCTTCGTATCCTCCGCCAGTTTCGAAACCCTACGAGAGCCCGGCTCCTCGGTCAGCACCCCCAATGAGCCAGCATCACCCATACTCGCAACATCCCCCCAGTTATGCCGTGTCAGCTTCGTCTACTAGCGCACCAAATCCTACATACCCCCCAGCAACATCCACCTACTCTGCCCCGCCTCGCTATGTGCATCAAGCATGGCAAGATAGCGCTGAAATGGCTCGTCTGGAAGAAAAGAAGATTGGTCGCTCGAGTCTAGCTCCGTACGGCGAGTCCGTCAAGCGTCATTTGGAGAGCTTTGACATCGAGGCCTCGCTCAACGAGATGGCTGACGGATCAGGGCGCATTGCAGAGTTCTCAAAAATCTACCGCCAACGGGCACACGACAACCAACGCATTGGCATGACACCACAGTCAATGCCGAGGTTGGAAGAGGTGGACGAGATGCTAAAGCAAAGCGAAAGGATTCAGATGTCTCTCCAACGCATGCGAGATGTTGTTTTCAACCACCACCAAGCAAGCCTTGTGGAAGCCCCACAAGATCCCCGGTATAGGCCCATGAACGGCTACGACGAAGGTGGAAGCGGTTATGGTGAAGACAACAAGGGCATGGGTGGCTTTACTGGTGGCGACAACAAGACCAGGAAACGAGGTGTAAGTAGCCCGCCTTGCACATTCTCTCAACATGTGTACTGATTCTATGAGTAGCGTGCTGCTCCACCCGGGCGATGCCACAGCTGCAATCGTGCCGAGACACCCGAGTGGCGGAGAGGGCCAGACGGTGCCCGAACCTTGTGCAATGCTTGTGGCCTGCGTAAGTTCAAGACCGTGATGCAGCTGCTTGTCATTAGCTAACACTACTCGTAGACTACGCCAAGTTGACTCGCAAAATGGGGGGAAAGCAAGCCATGACTAGCTCCAACCTACGACCTAAGCCCATAGAGCACAGCTCACCGACGATATGACCAACGCCTTGTCCTGGACACACGAAGCACAATCTTCAACAATTCTATACCCATGGTCGTTCATGACCAACCAGCACCTGTCTATATTGACGCTTTCCAGCGACTCAAAGATAGTAGCACATATTTGCCATATTTTGATGCATGCGACTGCCTGCATAAAACGGGGGTTTTTATATTATTATTATTTTTCATTTCGCATTTGCACTAGCGGCATTCATTCGACGAGTCTGTCTTTCTAGAGACGAGACGTCTGTATCATTTCCAAGGGGTTGCAGTATCCTTGTATGGATTTCACAACGGAGTTTTGGCATCGAGACGTCATCGCCGACTACCACTAGGATGGAGTAACGAGCCACTAGCCAAAGATCGTTACACTCAAAGGTACAGATGGAGCCCATTCGTCGGGGCTGACACATGTTGGCTATTTCATGTTTGTCTTTTAATAGCAGCGGTTGCATTTTGGCACATAGACAGGGGCTTTCAGGCCTGTGTACTGGTGGACGGCGTTTTCTGTACATGAGCATCTGTTAGGATGGCTCCATCATAGGACGGGAGTTTTGTTGCGCAAGTAAGCGCTTATCGTCGGAGGACAGGATTGTTCTTCTAAGCATTTTTTTGCACGACACGCGCTTTGCTAGAAGTGCACGAAGCCTCTGGGCAGTTTTGACTAGCGTTTGCAAAGAGATACCACAGGCTCTTAGGCCCACTCCAACTAAAAGCTTTCTACCTATCTACCGGTCATGTTTGTCTCATGTTCTGTTTGCAAATCAACAGAGCCAGTCATGTCATCATGGTTTCAAATGATGGGAAAGGGGGGTAAGGGGTGTGTGTGTGGGCCGACAGATATTGATGCATCCACCCATCCCTCGCACGGCGGCGGTTGGCTCTCTTTCCAACTACGACGCTGATGCAGGCCCATCCCCATGCAAGCATTGCACGTTGCGACAATCAGGCAATGGTCTCCACTTATTTCCATCCTATGCCAAATAACCGTTCCTCGGGGTAGCCTCTTGCAATCTACGTATGAAGCTGTAAAAGACGTGGACGCAGCGACAAGGCCCTAAGCTGACGAGGTGGTGCCCAAGTCAGCACAACGAGTAGGGAAAAGATCCGCTTGCAGAAATCATGCCACTGTGGCCCGTGGCAGCTACTACATATGTACATGTATCGACGAGATCTTTTCTCAATATGGGCGACGAGTGTGCACGTGGGATACGACGCATCTGGCCGAGTAGGACAAAATGACACGCCATGCCCTTGTCGTGCTCCTAGGCTCGCTGTCAGTACGCCCGAGTAACGTTGCGCGGTCCAAGATCGATTGCGTGCACAGCAGCAGCGGCGTGTCTTACAGTGGTGGTGAAGTCGGTCTATCTACATAGTACTAGTATAGTCAATGTTCTGCTCGGCGTCCCAAAAACGGCAAGCGCCGTTCGGTATTAGATCCTTCTTCTTCCGAAGCGGCATGGACCTGCTGCACTGCACCATGCATTATTAATCCATTCGTTTTCCGAACCCTAGTCTCGTACTGCAGTTCTACACTGGTCATCCGTGCGGAAGGGAAAGAAAAATTACACTCTCTTCTCCATTGTCGGTCAGCGACGATCTTTCGATAACGCAGGAAACCGAGGGGTCTGCAGCCGGTGAAAAACTGCAGCAACCCCGGCTTGTGCTAACCCCCACTTAAAAGACCAAAGTCCTGCAGTGCTCGCCGAAGACCTCCCCGCAATCGCCGTTTGAGAGCCACAAGCCACCCATTCATACGCCTACTCTGTCTGCCCGTGCACCATCCCAGATTAAACCACCTCTTACGACGCATTACGAAACTCGGGATGGGTCTGCTGTAAGATCCGTGCTACGCCACTCACCATCCTCGCTAATGTCATGTCAAGGGCCCTCGGAACGCCTCTCGACTGGCCAGAGGCCAAAAAGGCCGCTGATCAGGTTAGGTCATGGGGAATCGAAGTACGCATGCCTTGGGACCCTGAAATGGACAAGTAGTAATGTCATAAACAGCAACTGCTTGCCGTATGGCGCAACGCCAAAGCAAAGGAGAGGGACGCACTCCTCTGGGGCGATGAGGTGACTAACATGTTTTCGTCCGCTACAACATGTGAGACTAATTTGCGTGCAGATTGAGTATCTCGTGGTTTGCTACGATCAAGATAACCACAAGGTTCGATTGTCGCTCCGCCAGGCCGATATTCTAGCTGCTTTGGCCAGTGACGAGAAGCTCCTGCAGCAAGGTGGCGGAGTGCCTGACCTGCAGACCGGGAATGCCGAGTGAGCCAAAAAAATATCTCTCATCTCGCCTACCTGTGCTGACTAGGACAGCACAAAAGACAATCCCGCTCCCGTGTTCCACCCCGAATTTGGGCGGTTCATGCTGGAAGCCACCCCAGGAAAGCCATGGGGAATTGGCTTCAAGGACCTGCTTGATGTCGAGCCAAACATGAAGTGGAGGTAGACGAGCTTGTTTTGATTATCCAATAGTCGTGTGCTCACAATCCCGCAGACGAGCGATAGCCAAGGATCACATGGCCGAGACTGAGTTCCCAATCACGTTGACAACATTCCCTCGGCTTGGATCGACCGATTGTATCGTACCATCGTATCCTGTTTCAGGCCCAAAGCTGCGATCTCAGTTTGTCCCTGATGAGATTGCCAATCCCCATATCCGCTTCCCAACTTTGGCAGCAAACATTCGTTGGCGGAGAGGTAGAAAGGTACAGGTCAACGTGCCCGTATTTCGAGACGAGAAAACTGTATGGCCCTGGAAGGATCCAACTGTCAATTATGAATTGCACAATTGGCCCGAGGACGACGATGTCCGTAATGGTGCTGCCCAAGACAACTACATTCACATGGATGCAATGGCCTTTGGAATGGGAAGTTGCTGCTTGCAAATCACCTTCCAAGCAAAGAACATTGAAGAGGGCAGGACCATGTATGATCAGCTCAGTCCGATAGCCCCGATTCTCCTAGCACTGACAGCAGCCACTCCAATCTACAAGGGCTTCCTCGCCGACACAGACGTGCGCTGGAATCAGATCAGTAGATCGGTCGATGACCGTACTCCAGAAGAACTGGGAGAAAAGGTTAGTTAATTTCATCTAGTGTCTGACGAGTTTCTGACTTTCAGCAGCCCCTGAAGAACGATAGGTGGCGGCTCCCCAAGTCTCGCTATGCATCCAACTCAACCTACATCGCTCAGGACCCCCGCTTACGGCCAGAATACCTCGACCCAAATCTCATCATAGACCCTGACCTCAAGAAGCGTCTGGTTGAGGGGGGCATGGATGATTTGCTAGCGACCCACTTTGCTCATCTCTTTATCCGTGACCCCATTGTTGTTTTTGCAGAAGATCTCGAAGAACTTGATCTTACTAAAGCTGATCATTTTGAAAATCTACAATCAACAAACTGGCAGCACATGCGCTTCAAGCCTCCGCCAGCCGGCTCAGACATGGGCTGGCGCGTCGAGTTCCGGCCTATGGAGATCCAGATTACAGACTTTGAAAATGCAGCCTTCTCAATCTTCATTGTCCTCCTCACCCGCGCGATACTGTCGTTTAACCTCAACTTCTACATCCCTATCACACTGGTATCGGAAAACATGGAGACAGCACACATCCGTGACGCCGTGTCGACGCAGAAGTTCTGGTTTCGCAAAGACCCTTTTCCGACGCACAAAGCCAGTAATGGCACAGGTACTTCGACACCTGCTGAGAATCCAAGTCGGCCAGTAACACCCACTGGACCAGTTGAAGAGGAGTATGAGAAGATGACTATCAACGAAGTCATCAATGGGCAGCAAACCTCGTCTGGCGAAGCTGGCTTCCCTGGTCTCATTCCTCTTGTGGAATCGTACCTCAATAGCATGAACGTCGACGTAGAAACTCGCTGCGATCTTGCTACATATCTCGACTTGATCCGCAAACGCGCCAACGGAACGTACTGGACAGCGGCTAAGTGGATCAGACATTTCGTCCAGTCGCACCCATCGTATAACAAGGATAGTGTGGTGAATGACGAAATCACGTATGATCTTGTCAAAGCTGCTGAGCAGATCACAAGGGAAGAAGGTAGGGACGGACTGGGAAAGGAAATGTTGGGCAAAAGGCGTTGATCATGGTGAGAGAAAAGAACGTAAAGTAGTACTCATGGATGTAAAAAGTTAGCGCAGCAAATGCATCATGTACATGGTTTGCGTGCGTGTAGAAAGCATATAGATACATTGTAGAAATTTTGGTTGCTCTCAAGAGCACGTTCGTCTCTTAATTCTTTTCAAGAGGCTTCGTACTCCATATCTGCAACTTATCTTACGCTACCAATAAGGAGAGTAGCGAAAAAGCTCTACGCCAACTAAAAGCGTTCTTTGCGTTGCTAAATATTTTTTTTGGTTTATAAGCTAGGTGGCAATTTGAAGAATTGTAGGTAGAGGCTATAGTTAGCTTAGTTCTCCTCATTCTAGGGATTTATTGTCTCGATACTCTGAAATAGAGGTCGACCCTCGGGGATCCGTCGGATACCCCTCGGCCTCGTGCAGCCACAGTCACGTGCATAGAGTATATAGTCTCATTCGAACCTGAAGTTAACTTCTTGAGGATTCGTCTTAATCCACACTAACTAATATATTTTGTGTCTATCTGCGAACGCACCTCACAATTATAGATCTAAATAATATTACTAGCTCGGTAAAATATGCTTGTAGACATGGTGTATATCTGAAAATTACACCCATTGATTAGACATTTAGAGATAGCTTATTGTTGGAGCGGCGCAGCAACGAGCGGGGAGATAGTTGGGATAGAAACTAGTTCTTAGCGCCTGGAATGTGCTCAGTGGCGTTCTTGGAGGAAGGTGCTACTGCGCCCCTGAGGCAGATTGAAAGGCAGACTGTGTGGTGTGCTAGCGCTCTATCACATCTCAGCTTTGTGCGGGGAAAGCAAACACAGCCACATATTAGGCATCTTCTGATCTTCTATATTACATCGATTGTGGTTCCTTCTAGAAACCACCGATTCATAGCAAAGATGGCACTTGAGTCGTTTGCTGCGTTTTCACTGGCAGCCAACATATTACAGTTTATCGAGTTTAGCGGTAAGCTATTCAAAAAAGCACGGCAGGTCCATCATTCTGGAAATGGAGCAACCCAAGAATACACAGACCTTGAGTCTACCTTGGAGAGACTCAAAAGCCTCAAGGACGACCTGCTTTCTTCAGCATCTACTGTTCCTCTATCCCCGGGGACCACTGGTGAAGAAAGGGACTTGGCCGTCATAGCAAAAGATTGCACAGAGCTTGCTGATGGGTTTTCCAATCTGCTCAAGAAGCTCAAAGGCAGTGGAAGAGTGGGAAATTTTGGGAGTTTATGGCAGGCAGCGCGAGTTATGATGAAAGATAATGAGATCAATGCTGCGAAAACTCGTTTGAAGGAATTCCAGACACGCATCACTGTTTGTTTGTTGACAATACTTAGGTACACTCCGACGACATGCGGGTTTTATACACAATCATTCTAATCCCAGTATCTAGAAGTAACCAGTCAAACGTAACCAAAATGTTGGTGGAGCTTTCTTGCCACGCTGGTCGAGAGGAGACGCGCGCGAAAGATCTCTTGGCGTGGAAGGCCTCTGTGACAAAGAAACTTGATGACATACAATCGTCTTCCAATAATTCTATGGACTGCAGCGATAATATATCCTCGAAACTCAGCGAGATTGCCTCTGATCTATCCAAATTGGCTACAGCTGGGAACCGGATCGCCACTCAACATCGGATCTTAAAAGGCTTACGTTTCGACTCCATGAACGTGCGGCACGCTCAAATCCCGGAGGCCCATAGCAAAACATTCGAATGGGCATATACATCGCAATCAACAGCGGACCGCTCTTGTAAACAGTTCGAATTTGCCGAGTGGCTACGGTCTGGAGACGGCCATTACTGGATTGCCGGCAAACCGGGCTCTGGAAAATCAACGCTCGTCAAATTTCTATATGACAACCCCCGAACACTCTTAGAGCTGCAAGATTGGCGCGGGCAGAAAGAATTGGTTACCACGGGCTTCTTCTTCTGGAATTCTGGCACAAAAAGACAAAAATCCGTAGAAGGCCTGCTCCAGTCCCTTTTGTACGAGATACTAAGAAAGTGCCCGAGTCTTATTCCTATAGTAGCACCACAAAGATGGCAAGAAAAATCTTTGAGCCACTCAGAACCTGCACCCTGGTTTCAGGGGGAGATGAAGGATACGTTCCGACGTATTCAAGAGCAAGGCACCATATCTGCAAAGTTCTGTTTCTTTATTGACGGCCTTGATGAGTACGACGGAGACCAATCAGATCTCATCAACATACTTCAAGACCTTACAACATCGCCTGATATCAAGCTATGTGTTTCAAGTCGACCCTGGAACGTCTTCCAAGATGCTTTCGGCCAAGATACTGAACGCAGACTCTTTTTGGAAGATCTTACGAAGCCTGATATTGAACGATTCGTTCGCGACAAGCTGGAGTCTAGCCCGCAGTTCATGTCTTCAATCACCATGGATAATCGATACGATGAACTTGTCGAAGACATCGTGCGAAAAGCTGATGGAGTATTCTTATGGGTGTTTCTCATTGTCCGATCACTCTTGCAAGGTCTGTTGAATTGCGACCGACTCTCCGAATTACAGCGAAGGATACGTCTTCTCCCTTCGACACTGGAAGAGTATTTCCTACATATCCTTTCTACTACTGACGGTGCCCACTCGGAACGTGCGGCAGAGACTTTCGAAATCGCTCTCAAAGCTACTTACCCTATGTCCTTGCTTGTATATTCATACGTCGATGAAGAAGACCCATGCTATGGAATCAATGCAGAGATCAAGGAGCCGTCGCGTCAAGAGATCATACACCGATTGCAAATTACGAAAAGACGCCTCAATGCACGCTGCAATGGATTGCTCGAGATTCTGATCGCCAGTGACGATGACGATAAACGTGAACTTCTCAGAAATATCATCGATGATCCTGGAGACTCACCAGTCGCAACCAATACTATCGACAAGAGCACTCTCTTTGATGTATTCATCGTTAACTTTCTCCACCGGACGGTTAAAGATTTTCTCAACACTGAGGCCATTCAGAAAATGATTAGACAAAACATAAAAACCGATTTCCAACCACTATCTACAATAGGTCGAGCACTCCTAGCTCAAATCAAAGCACTGCCGACCCAATTTTCCCGCTCGTCCAAAAAGACATAATGAACTTGTGCGGCAGATGGTCAACGGTATTCTTTCCCACGCAAGAGTCTCTGATGAAAGATTCCAAGCCCCGGAATTCCAGACGCTGGATGAACTGGAACGTACCCTTTTAGCTCTATCATCTGCTCAGGAGATCGAAAAAGTGCCAACACAGTCGGCTGGTATTAGAGCTTTAGGTTTCAACTATGATTCTTTCCTAGAACTTGCGGTTGAAGCTGCGCTACGCAACTACGTCTGTTGCAAGTTGCGTTTGTCTTCAGAAAAGGGATCACAACCGAGTCTTAAGAAGCTGCTGCCCGTTGCAATGAATATGGACTGGAGTGCAAAGAGCGCAGCTCGCAGTGAATCCATGGTCCGGCTCCTCGTAAACGAATTAGAAGCGCAGAGAACAGAAGAATGGACTATAGTCGAGCTACCATCTCTTTGGATCTTTTTTCTACGAACTTTACCGGAAGAATATGGTATCTTTGAACAGTGGGATCTGGGGGCCTATTTGCAAACCATCCAAATGTTTCTTGATATGGGCGCTAATCCTAAGGAGCAACACGACGGATGCGTGGCGTGGGAGAGTACGCTTCAGAAGCTTGAGGATCAGTTCAAACAAGGACGTTTCCAAGTGAGCAGAAATGAAGCGATGGACTTCATCGAAAAGTACCGAATCATCTTCCTAGCTCACGATGTAGAACTGTTTTCTGCACAGCCTTCTGTGGACTTGAATGCAGGTGAGAATGCTGGGGATATGATACTTTCTTTCAATCAGGATTGAGTTTTCCTTTCTTTACCACTGTTCTTTGTAATCACGTAGTATAATTCATCGTTGCAATCGCTTACGGCTTTATTCCTCGTAACAGTAAAGTCTCTGCTCTGCAATCTCTGTGATAACTGAACTAGCTCAATTCAACGAAAACTTGCAAGTTGAAAGTGAAATATACTTATACACGACAGATCTAGGTCATCAACAGATATCCAGTAAGCTACCCTTTCTAGGAATAGTGGTCGAAATGCGGGAGCATCTACCCGCTGGCATTAGGACCGAAGCTAAGCATGTCACCGCAACTAGGGTCTAGATCTTCCGTTAATTCCTCTATTACCCCCTCGTAAATAGTAGTGAGAGGATTGATATCGGTTCTGAGAGACGTCGTGGTGGCGGGGTAACTATGAACACTACAGATCGCTCATACTAATTTTACAGCACACTATTTGTGACTATACCAGCAGTTTTCTTGGGGGGAAGAGGGGTTACCGCTACTATTCCTATTTCTGGTGGAGATTGCACCTCCACGATCTAGACACATACGCCACGAGCCGCCTTAACGCCATGCGGGGGCGAAGATGGCGGCAACCAATCGGAGGATCATGAGCTCGATATAAGAGTGTACGAGGCGGTATAGTACATAGCTGAATGACGCGCTAGTACAAGACTTGATGTGTGTAGAAAGATGGATAGAGCGATAGTGCATTTGTTCAAGCAGTCCAGCCCAAGTCCAATGCATATAAAGGCTATAGTATTCGGGCAATGACTGTGGCCAAAGGCTGCTCTTCATATCGTTTCCACCCAAGATGCGCATCACTCACCTTGGCACGCTCTTCTCTCTCGCCCTAAGCGCGAACAGTATACCAACGGCATCCCCACCTCCAAAATCCCACTACTACCTCCCCAAGCGCCTCATCGCACTCGAAGAGCATGCCGTCTCCCCCTCGCTCGAAGCCGAGATCATCGCCAGCGGCCTAACCCAGCGCAACCCCGGCATACTCGCCAAACTCAAAGACGTCGGAGCAGGCAGAATCGCCGCCATGGACGCCGGCCACGTCTCTCTTCAAGTACTCGCACAGCAATCAGCTTCAGGATCTGAGGACCCATCAGGATGCCGCGCAGCCAACGATGCCATCCGCGATGCCATCAAATCAAACCCTAAACGTTTCGCCGGCTTCGCAGTCCTGCCCATGGCGCTCCCCGACGAAGCAGCCACAGAACTGAACCGCAGCGTAACCGACCTCGGTTTTAAAGGCGCAATGATCTGGAACCACCTCAAAGACGGCACCTACTACGACGCCGCACGCTTCGACCCCGTCTTCGCCATGGCACAAGCCCTCGACGTCCCACTGTACCTGCACCCTGCATCTCCCACCGCAGACATCACCTCCAAGCTCTTCGCAGGCAACTATCCCGCCGCCCTCGCCGGCCGCCTAGGCTCCAACTCCTGGGGCTGGCACGTCGACGTCGGAACGCACGTGTTGCGTCTCTACGGCGCCGGCCTCTTCGACCGTTTCCCCCGTCTCAAACTCATCATCGGACACAACGGCGAAGGCCTACCCATGTTCATCGACCGCATCGACTCGACTGGCCTACGCAACGACACGTCGTTTGAGCGCGTGTGGAGCACGAATATCTGGTCCACGACGAGTGCGTTTTTTACGGTCCGCCAGTTTGAGCAGCTGAGGCAGGTTAGTCCTGTAGAGCGCATCATGTATTCGGTGGATTATCCGTTTAGTGACATGACGGATGGGTGGGCATTTGTGGAGAAGCTGGCTGAGGCGAGGGTGTTGAGGGATGAGGAAATGGATTTGTTTGCGCATGGGAATGCGGAGAAGCTACTGGGGTTGTGAGGGGGCGGCGTTGGGGCTAAGATGCGGCGAGGGGGAAAGAAGCTTTTGGATAAGCGTGGGCTACTGGAGTTAATCGAGGCTTGTGTGGAGCGTGGCGTTCTTTCATCAATTTACTGACCGTGGAACATTATTATTTTTTCCGTCCCCCCCCCCTTCCCCCCTTCTTTTGACTCGGCAAGAGAAAGAAGTGCGCTTTATCCTTTTCTTGCACAATCCCATGTGATGTTAGGCTCGGTGGAAATACCGGTATGCTGTAAATACATCTTTCATACAAATGAAATAGGGCACTTGAATTCATTGCTCTCGAGCTTCTTTATGGATTGTCAGTCATATCCGAGAGCGTTAGGATATGTTTTCGTGTAGAAAAGAAACAGCTGGTCAGTTGATGTACCAGAGCTTTGTTGAGTAAGTCTCTCCTCCACGATACGTACGTGCAGATAGGACCGAGATAATCACTGGGATTGCCGGAAGCCCCAAACATTACTATATACAAGAACGATCCCATAATGCTCTATTACTATGCCTTATTCTACAAAGGGCCTACATATCCTCTACTATTTGAATAATATAGGTGTTTGGTGCTTGGGGGAATTGGACAAATCAGGTGCAGACAAAACTTATGCATAACCACTACCGCTACTACGACATTTGAATGTACCCGAAAATGAACTGTTGGCATGCATTTTTCTTCTACAAGGAATGTTTTAAGCAGTCACTAGGAGCATAACAGGAAAAGAAAAGAGGAGTTTGTGGTGCATGTTTCGCAGACGACTAGCGGGGTTTGGATATGTTTATATTTCCCAATACAGCGATGAGATATGCAGGTATTCAGGCAAGGGCACTGTGGCGCTTGTTTATTACAAGGATAAGGATGAGTATCGTCCTTGTCGCTGGATTGCTGCCGTTCAGGATGATAGGTATGCTGGGTCCTGCAAGAATATGAATTGTCAGGAAGTGTTTTAGAGTTAGGTAATTTCTTAACACATTTGGTCAAAGGGCCACGTTGGAGCTATTTTGCACATTATTTCGAGACTTTTTACTTTTGGAGCTTCTGGTTTGCGTCTATGGTCCAGAGTTTCCTGTAGGTTGTGGGAATCTTATTGGAGAAAAGGCTTTGCATTCTAAATTTCGCACAAATTTGAATTTTTCTATAGAAAATATGATAAAAAAAGCTTAATGCTGGTAGCAAGTAGTGGTGGAATTAACACCGAGGTATGTTTCCATCACATGAAAGTCCTTAGGTCAAGGAAGCATATGTTTATCGTCACTATACCGTCGATTTGTAGATCTAAAGGCTCGCACATAGGACATTTGCAGCTGAAATTACTCGTGAAAATGGAAGTCGTTTGAAGTTCACAAGTACATAATTATAAGATTCCCCAGACTATAGCCCGGTTCAGTGTCTTAGTAATAGGGACGCCACCAGGGATGAGCTCATATGACTAAAGCTTCTTCAACAATGAGCGCAAAAGATACAAAAAAATTGGTTTCAGCGTTACAGCCACTAAACCGTAGGTATTCAACTTTGATTAATAGGACTTGCAAAAAAACATACAACAGCGGGGATTCGCCAGTGGTCACCCACCTGACTACTAGTCCGCCGGTCGAAGATTTAACGTGTGGAGAGCGAACGGGATCCGGTGCAA